AGTGAGCTCTAAAGAGCCTATCAGACAGGGGCTCTGATGTACTACGTCATCGAATGCGTTGATTGGTTCATTTTTCACCTCTCAACCAATCACAGATATCCATTAAAGTCGCATGTTCTCGATGCTTAGACATACCAGGCCACCACGCCCCCCATATCAGACTCCCACACCCGCTACCAAACTCCCACACCCGCTACCAAACTCCCACACCCGCTAACAAGCTCCCCACACCCGCTAACAAGCTCCCCACATCCGCTAACAAGCTCCCACACCCGCTAACAAGCTCCCACACCCGCTAACAAGCTCCCCACATCCGCTAACAAGCTCCCACACCCGCTAACAAACTCCCACACCCGCTAACAATCTCCCACACCCGCTAACAAAGCTCCCACACCCGCTAACAAGCTCCCACACCCGCTAACAAGCTCCCACACCCGCTAACAAGCTCCCACACCCGCTAACAAGCTTCCACACCCGCTAACAAGCTCCCACACCCGCTAACAAGCTCCCACACCCGCTAACAGGCCCCACACCCCCTACCAGGCACCCTGCCAAGTCACCACGCCCCAGACCAGGTTTGTATGGATAATGAAGCACATTGGGAAATGTCATGTCGAAATAAAATGCAGTTGGAATAGTGGGACGGGACAGGATGCTGGGACGGGAGAGCGGGACAGGATGCTGGGACGGGAGGGCGGAGGATGGAGTAACAAGAGGACTCGGGGTCAGGAAAATGAAGAGGATAGGACTGGGACAATAAAGCGTGTGATGGTAAATAGGTTGTACACAACAGTTCACACTGGAGATACCCTTACGTTGTCTCCCCATTAGCCTCATGCGATGGGGACAACCTCCGCTCAAAACAATACAAGATATTCACGTGTCTCCAAACAGCTGAGGAGCTACCGGAAGGTGTAAGCATTGAGGAACAGGCGAGCAGCAGCAGCAACAACAGCAGCAGAAGCAGCAGCAACAGAAGCAGCTACAGCAGCAGCAACAGCAGCAGCAGCAGCAGGTACAGCAGCAGGTGCAGCAGCAGCAGCAGGTACATCAGCAGCAGCAGCAGCAGCAGCTACAGAAGCAGGT